CAGGTAAAGGAGTCAGAAATGGGACCCAGGGAGCACAAAACCCCCCCAAAAACGGACCCAGGGACCAGGAACCCACTCAAAGAAACCCCAGGTCTCGACACCCCCCCCCCAAAACCAGATCCCGGGGCCACGCCCCCCCCAAAAATGGACCCAGGTACCACTTCCCTCCCCCTCCCATGACCCAGTTATCGACACCCCCCTCCCCAAAAAAAGCCCCCTCCCCGCACTCACCGGGCATCCACGGCCAGGACCTGCTGCCACACGGCGGCCATGGCGGCCACGGCCCCCGGGGGGGGGCCCTGGAGGGGACACGGAGTCACACACCGCGGGGGGGGGCACCCACCGCACCGGGGGGGGGGTATTGGGACACACTGGGAGGGACTGGGAGGGATGGGAGGGACTGGGAGGGATGGGAGAACCGGAGAGATGGGGGAGGAACGGGAGATGAAGGGGAACGGGGGAGATCGGGGGGAACCGGGAAAGATGGGGGTAGAACCAGGAGAGCGGGGCCGGGGGGAACCGGGAGAAATTGGGAGACCAGGGTGAGAGGAACGAGAAGAAAACGGAGGAAGGGAACGGGGGGGATCGGGGGAAGGAATGAGGACAGAAAGCAGGGCGGCGCCGCGGTACCTGCGCGTCCCGCTCCACCTCCGCCTCAGGAGCTCCGCGGGGCCGCGGCTGGACCGGGAACGGGGCCGGGGCCGAGCCGGGGGAGCGGGGCCGGGGCTGTCACGAGGCTGGGTCCCTGCTGGGCCGGGTTTAGGGCTGGGCCGGGCTCGGGCCGAGGCCGCTCCCACCGGAAGTGGCTCCGCCACCGCCTCAGCCCCAAATGGCGCCGCGCGTCTCCCTGGCGACCGACCCCGGCGGGAGGGGCGTGTCCAGAGCGCTGATTGGCTGATTCCCCAAAGAGGGCGCGGCTTTCCTCTTCTCCATAGCTCCCGCCTTTCCAGCGCGCTCGCTGATTGGTTGATCCCCCAAAGGGGGCGTGGCTTCCCCTGTAGTCCCCGGGTCCTCTCGCCCGCTGCCTTAGCGACAGCGCCGCCGCGCGCTTTACGGCAGCGCTCCTGAGGGCGAGGCCCCTGGAGGGGGGTCCCTCGGTGGGTTCGGGGGGTCCCAGGAGAGGTCCCGGGGGGG